AGTGTGTGAGGAGAAGCTGAGGTGTTGGAGGGAGTTGCTGAGGCAGGAAAGTAACTGATAAATGGCAAGTGTTCAGGCTCAGGAAGGGCTGTCTTAGGGCAGAGGAGTTGGTCACGTTCTGCATGGCCCTAGAGAGAGGAACTAGAACTATAGGAGGAAGCCATAGAAGGAAGATTTCAGCTCCGTGTAAGGTAAAACCTGTCCAAGGTGAAAAGTCTGACTTACAAGGTCTGAGTTGTCCGTGTATACAGGTGTACAAGCAAAGTCTGCATCTGGGATATGAATGAACAGAAAGGGAAATATAGACGGGAGAACAGGAGAGTGATACAAACACAGAAAAAGAAAGGCAAAAAAAAAAAAAAAACTAGAGGCAGAGAGGAAGAAAGGAAAAGGAAAGACATGGCAGAAGGAGAGCAGTTTTAAGATACAAGGTGAGTCACTGCATACAAACACTGCGGGATCTGACCTGCATTTTCAAGTCTTCATTAGTGATATCCTGAATTACCAGCAGATGGCGATATTACCCTAGGAAAGGAGGACTCCTGCGCACTCCTTACTCAAAAATCAAGTTTTCCTCTGAAAAATGTTACCAATAAAGAACACCAGAAGTCTCTGAGTTGCCAAGTCAGATTTGCAAACAAACATGTTATAGCAAATTCTGCCTATATTCCATGGTTCTAATATACCCACAATACTAAGCTTTGAGTCAGAATCTACTCATTGGCAATGGGTTTGGTTTAGTTTACTAATCTAGAGAAGGCCACTATAGCTTTTTGCGTTTTGGTTACTGGCTGAGTAGGGCTCCCTCCATCCTGCCTCATCCCAGTAATATATGCATTTTGTATACATATATGGGGTATGTGTGGTAATGATTGCTAAACAATTAAACCGTATAGGGGTATACTATAATTCTCTTGTCAGCCACCCCACCAATAACACTTCTTCCTCTGATAGAACCTCTGTCATTTAGAAATCCTGCCTGTGGTAATTCTGGAATCTTTGCTCTCAATAGATGTGTGGTACTTTTCACTCTTCCATCCGTCTACAAAGCAGCCAATCCTGAGAACTTTCCCGGACTTGCTCTGACTGACAAAGATGTGCCTTAAAGGGGGAGCAACATTATACAACCAAACCCATTGCTGTAAAGTCAATTCTGACTCATATTGACCCTATACGACAGGGTAGAACTGCCCCATAGAGTTTCCAAGGGGCGGCAAGTGGATTTGAACTGCTGATCTTCTGCTTAGCAGCCAAGCTCTTAACCACTGCACCACCAGGGCTCCATATTGTACAACAGTGGTTCCCAAACCTTGGGTGCACACGAATCACCTGCATAATCTTGTTTAAGTGCAGATTGATTCTGCATTTCTAACAAGCTTCCAGATGATGTCAATTCTGCTGGCCCATTGGCCACACTTTGAGTAGCAAGGGCATAGACTGTGTCCCTATGTAAGGAGGGGCCAGGGCACTTCTCTCAAGAATGACAATTGACTTTTTATAGCCACTGCTGCCTCTTTGTCGCCCCTTAACTCTGATTTAACTGTTCATGTGGTCATTCAACCAATCAGCATTTACAGAGAATCTACTATCTGCAAACCCTCTGCCAATTCATTTCGACCAACATCTTTGAGTTCCAGTCCTTGTGCTAGGCTTCCAGGATTAGAGATGACTCAGGTCCATTCCTTCCCCTGTCACTCATTCAACATTTGTTGAGGGTCTACTATGTGCCAGGCCCTGTTCCAGGAGCTGCAGCTACAGCAGTGAACAAAACAGGCATATATCTTTTTATTGTTTAACCCCCAAATTATTTTTATTATTTTAGTATTTACTGTTAACTCCAAACAAATTTAGTGAGGGAAAAATCAAGGGGAGACAGACAAATAATTAGACAATTAAGCTCGTTTTCTTCCTTTTCCTTTCCCTCTCCTGAACGAATAAATCTAAAAGCCATTAGTGGGGACAAGCAAAGGTAGACCTCTACTTAGAGGGGAACGAGAGCCTGCAGTGGCCTAGAACAGGCATGCTGGAGCCCTAGGAGGGTAAAAAGGGCATCCATGTGGAAGGATGGCCAGGTAAAGAGTGTCTGAGCCCAAGCTAGGTGTCTTAGTTATCTAGTGCTGCTATAGCAGAAATAACACAAGTGGATGGCTTTAACAAACAGAAATTTATTCTCTCACAGTTTACGAGGTTATAAGTCCGAATTCAGGACACTAGCTCCAGGGGAAGGCTATCTTTCTCTGTTGGCTCTGGGGGAAGGTCCTTGTCATCAATCTTCCCCTGGGTCTAGGAGCCTCTCAGCACAGGGACCCCAGGTCCAAAGGATGCGCTCCAATCCAGTTTCTTCTTTCTTGGTGGTTTCATGCTCGTTTCTCTTTTATATCTCATAAGAGATTGACTCAAGATACAGCCTAATCCTGTAGATTGTGTCCTGTCTCATTAACATAACCACCTTTAATCCTGCCTCATTAACATCATAGAGGTTAGGATTTATAACAAATAGGATAATTACATCAGGTCACAAAATGGAGGACAACCACACAATACTGGGAATCATGGCCTAGCCAAGTTGATGCACATTTTTTAGGGGCACAATTCAATCCATAACCCTAGGTGAGAAGGGTATCTGGGCAAGGGGGCAATCTGGCACGCGTTATCAGAGTCTGAGCAAAGTGAAGAGGGCATTCATGCAGGGGGTGAGGCAGCATTGGTAATGGCCTGCTACAGAGTGTTGGACCCCTAAAAGAGTAAGAAGGGCATCCATGTCAGGTGGTAGTGGTGATGGTGATGGCAGGAGATGATTACCTACAAAAGATTGATCAAATAAATGAATATATTAAGGCTAATGGGAATCAGGTTTCTCACTGTCAGAGAAGGAAGTTACAAATATGAGGGGAAAGAAAACAAGAATGAACACTTGTGGTGTTGGATTGGAATCAGAGTTCAGTGTGAACTCATACTTTTCAACATATATACATAGATCCAGAAATAAAGATAGTTGTAAGCATTAGTACATGTATTTCCTAATTTGGTCAACCAAGACAGCCTGGGAGCAGTGGCATCCCAAAGCAATACATATCTACCACACAGATCTGTGTTTCTAAATACCATTTCCCATCAAAAAAACAGGGTTTCTTGGAAAGATGGCTGATGGCAAGGTTGGGGCAGGGAAAGTAGAAGATGAGCTAGAAGACTTTGTTGTGCCAGAAGGTAAAGATATGTTTAAAAACTGATAGGGACATGTCAAAAGGACAGAAGCCAACTCGAAGGGATTCCCACTGGCCCAATCTGGGAAAATTTCAACATAGAAATAAATAATGATAACAGCAGATTCCAATCTACTGAATAAAATGGGAACCGACAAGTCCATGTCGATACAAATTAATGAGTTGAAAATGTGATGAATAAGATATTCACATAGTTTCTAAGTATCTCCCACAAAATACTTATTAATTACGAAAGGAAAAAGAGTAACTTCACAGTGGAAAAGTCTGGTTGACACTACCTTAATCAAGTGATCAAAGTTAATATTACTAGCAATGGAGTAAATCAAAATTATGTGTCACTTGATAGGATACAAGAAGAACACAGTATCATACCTGTAATAGTTCTGCCAAAGGTATATAATCTGAAACTAATCATTTGGAAACATTAGATTATTTAGAAATCCAGAGGGACATTTTACAAATAACTGACCTGTAATCATTAAAATAGTCAGTTACGAAAGTCAAAGAAAAACTGATGAACTGTTTCAGATTGTAAGAGGCTACAGAGCTATGCCAACTAAATGCAATCCGTAATTCTGGGCAGGCTCCTTTTCCTATAATCAAAATTATTGAGACGAACAGCGAATTTACATGGGGTGTGAGGATTATATGGTAGTAATACATCCATGTTAATTGCCTGGTTTTGATGACTGCATTGTATTTCGGGAACTTGCTTGTCTGTAGGAAATGCTATAGTTTTCAGAGGCGATGGGATATCAGGTTGGCAACTTTAAAATGATTCAGGGCAAAAAAAAAAATTACTTGTACTTACTTGCAATGTTTTTTCTATAAATTTGATATTTGGTCATTATAAAAGTGTGACAAGTGCTCAGGTAAAGGGGAACTCAGGGCTCGGTTTTTTGGAGGAGATTGGGTGTATGTGTAGGGAGGACGAGGGTGATAGGGACGGCTTCTTAAGGCTGAAACCCGAACAGAATCTTGAAAGAAGGCGCTTTGGAGAACTGAGATGGGCCCATCCGAGTTCTTGCCCTTCAACAGTACTGGCAAGAGGAATCCCTGGCCTGGGTCCATGCTTTAGAGGCCCTGCTCTGGTTAACTTCCCATGCGGAGTGGCGGTGGAATCCACAGGGACAAGGGGACATACTCATCAGATCAGGCTTCTTTCTTATGACACATCCGAGAATTCCTTCCTCAAATGCTCTGAGCCTGTTCGCATCTCCCCCTAATCCTAGTGTGTGCACTCCTAGATCATGGGGAGCTGCTTGCGGGACTGTGGACGGAGCTTGGACTAAAAGGCTGAGAGTCCACATGTGTGGATGAGAACTCTCAGAGAATGAGCGGCTTTCCGCCAGCTACCACATTTAGTCGGAGCTGGAGGAGTTCCAGTAGAAGAATTCTAAATTTGAACCTAGCCTTTCAGTCTCAGGAAGATATGTTTGTCAAGGTAGGAGAAATAGATCATACTCTTGTCTAGACCGTGCTAAGCAGTTGGAAACCAAACACGAAGCGTACACTGAAGCCACACGACTTTCAGGCGCCCCCATCCCCAGTAGCACCAAACAAGTACAGCGCATAAGTACAGTGTGGCGGAGACCACCCATCTCAGCGCAGAAGGGCGGGGCGAAGAGTGGGCGAGGCGCCGCGGCAAGGCGCTCCGGGGACGAGCGTGCACGGGGCGTTGTCCGGTGAGGGCGGAAACACGCGTCTCCGCGCGCGCAGGGCGGTGCTTCACGAGGACACGCCGTTTCCGGTTCGGCGCAGTACCTGGCTCCCACGTGTGAACTAACGCACCCGGTAGCCAAGGGTGTCTCAGCTTTGGGTTGTGGCAGCTAGACGGGCGAGATGGCGGCGGAGGTGTTGCCGAGTGCGAGATGGCTGTACTGTGGGGAGCCCGACGGTAGCCAAAGAGCTGTACTGGGTAAAGACTGCAGAGCTGGAGCGGAGTTCCCCCTACCCCACTTCCGTCTCTTGGTACCTCTCCAGTCTCCCGCTGCCCGCCCGACCCCGCTCCCAGCTGGGCCAGCACCCCTCTAGTCTCAACTACTTGGGGCTCGTCCAGGGCTTCCCTGTCATCCCGCCACCCTCTGTCACTACTCCCAGGTGGATGAGGACATCCCAGCCACACCTTCCCCACAGCTGTGCCCAGGACCCTGTCGTCCCCTCATACACCATCTCTTCTATCTGCCCCATTCCCCTCTCCCCTGGGTAGAGAGTCCCTTTGTTTTTCTAGATCTGGACCAGGCCTTCTCTGTCATCTCTGTCCGCCAAGTCATTCCTTCCTGTCACAGGCTCTCCCTAGGGCTCCCCTCATCTCTCCATCCTTTCTCAACTGGATCAGGACCTCTTTCAGTCCTTTATATCAGGGCTTGGGCTCCCTCGCCATCCTCGTTCCTTCAGTCACTCCTTCCCAATGACACCCTATTTCCTCTCCACATACACTGTGGGTCCTTCTATTCTCATCCCGTTCTTGGCAACCTTACAGTCCAGTTCTCCAACGGGAAGCTGCAGAATCCAGGCAACATGCACTTTACCTTGTACAAGAGTAAAGACTTCACAAACCCGAGGAAGAGGAGTCAGCGGATCTTAGTAAGTGCTGGTTGCCAGTTGCCTCCACTCTGCAGACCTCAGGAGGCCCCTTGGGTGTGAGTGGCTGTGGAGGGAGTGAGGGAAGAAAAAAGGGGGGCAGCAAATGGGCCTTTAAAGGACTCCCCCCCCCCCGCCCCCAGCTGGTGTAGGGACAGGCTTGGCCATCTAGGTTTGGTATTTTCAGAGAGGTGATGACTGTTCATTCATTTGTTCATATTCTGCAAGCATTTATTGAGCACCCATTGTGGCCCTGTGTTGTGAGCTGTTGGGCATACAGCCAAACCAGACCTGGCACCACTCTGACAGAGCTCATACTCTAGAGCAGGGTTTCTCAAGCTCAGCACTATTGACACTTTGGGCCAGATAATCCTTTGTTGTGGGCAGTTGTCCTGTGCATCACAGGATGTTTAGCAGCATCCCTGGTCTCTACCCACTTGATGCCAGTAACGCTTTCCCCTTCCTCCCCCCCCCCCCAGTTGTGACAACCAAAAATGTCAAACATTGCCAAATGTCCCCTTGGGGTGGGGGGCAAAATTGTCCTAGCTTGAGAGCCTCTGCTCTCGAGGGAGAGGTGAGAACTGGATGTGAGGGACGTTCATACAAGTAGATGAAGCTCAGGGTGCGAGGGAGAAAGAGTACAGGGCAGAGTGAGCTCAGGAAGGGGAGAGCCCTCTGCTTGCCAAATGTCTTGGAGGAGACTGCATTGGAGCCGAGCCCAGGATGGGGAGAGGGGAGGCTGACAGGTGAGATTTGGTATTCCAGGTGAAGAGGATAGGAACAAATACTTGACTGTGATTGGGGTGTGAATTAGCCATTTCCATGATCCTGAGAGTGTGCAAAGAGTAGTCACAGTAGAAGTGAACAAAAAAGATCAAGAAGAGTTTGGACTTCAGGCCAAGGAGGTTGCCTGCAGAATTGCCTACATATATGTGTTGGGAGCCCAGGGCCTTTCCCCCAAGTCCTGTGGTGCGACTCCTCCAAGAACGTTTAATACCAGTTAGAACCCAACACTTTCTGGGGCTTCCCTTACAAAAGTCCTTTTGCCCTTCCCCCAGGGGTACCCCAGATTCACTTAGAGATGTTGTTAGGTGCTGTCAAGTTGGTTCCGACTCATAGCAACCCTGTGTATAATAGAAGGAAACACTGTCTGGTCCTGCGCCATCCTCACAATCATTGTTATGCTTGAGCCCATGGTTACAGCCACTGTGTCAGTCCATCTTGTTGAGTGTCTTCCTCTTCTTCGCTGACCCTCTACCAAGCATGAGGTCGTTCTCCAGGGACTGATCCCTCGTGATAACGTGCAAAGTATGTGAGACGTAGTCTTGCCATCCTTCTTAGGAGCATTCTGGTTGTACTTCTTCAATGACAACACGTAGAGATAGTGGGGTTGTATCACCTCACAGTGGCTCTAGTTCTAATCTACTTTGGTTCTGGATTCTCAAGCTTTTGCAGTTGTAGAAAAAGGAGACAAGATGCTTAGTACCTTTCAACATTGGTCATAAGTGGAGCTTTTTCCCCTTCTACGTTTTAGGCAGCTGAAACAGACAGACTTTCCTATGTGGGGAACAATTTTGGGACCGGAGCCCTCAAATGCAACACTTTGTGCAGGTAGTGATGGGGGACGGGGCAGCATGAAGGGCGATGGGGAGGGTAGAGGTGGTGCCACTGGCACTGTTGTTCTCAGTCTTTATCATGGGGCAGTGGGAGAGCCTAGAGAGGTTTACCAAGTTCCTGTGTTCACAGACACAGGGATCCTCATACCAGCCTGTAGATATTCCTGAAAAGGAAAGATAACTTACATTTGTTGAAAATCCTTAAACCTCATTAATTTGTAATATTCTTAAATAATCTGTCTTGTTCCAAAAGGCAGCTGTCTCTACGAATTTGGAATGTGTGATTACTAGACCAGACCTCCCGAAGTTTGCCTTGGAACTAAGTACAAGAAGGATTTGGTAGCATCAAAGGCTTTGGGCTGGGAAAGAGGAGCCCAGGGTTTCCATCTAGCTCTGTGCTGGTTGAATGACTTTGGAGAACTCTGCCTTTCACTGACCCTAGTTCTCCCTCTGTGTATAATGAAGATTGTCCAGCCCAAACAGTCTATAATTCTCAGGGCCTGGCATAATGCCAGATGGGGTCCCTGTGATGGTACCCAGCAGTGAACCACAAACAAGGTCCTATCTGAACCCCTACTAGACCACATCCTGATAGAAGTCAGGTTAATGTATATATGCTTAAAAGTATTAACACACTGCATCCCCTCACAAAGATTCTCTAATTCAGACCAGTCTCTTCCCCATAATCAGCATGGCTTTACTTATATTTGCCTCCATAAAATTTATACATGCAGCAAATCATAGTGTAATTCTAGATTCTTATATCTGAAAAGGGTTTCCCATTACAGCAGCGAGTCCAAATGCGGTTGACTACTAGAATCACCTGGTGGCTTTTTTTTTTCACCCAAAACCATATCATATCCTCTCCCCTTCCCTCCTTGCCTTTCTTCTCCCCATGCAAGGGATTGCTGCTGTAAGAGAATATTGTTTTTATGGGCAAGTGATGCATTCCTCACTTGTGTTGGGGCAGAAAGAAGGTTGAGAACCTTTAAAGGGGAAAAAGGAAGTTTATAAACAACATCTCTGTTTATTTTTTTTATTTAACAGTACATTTTGAATAATCCATTGTTGCTGGTATTATTCCTTCTTTATTCAGGCACTTTGTGGGAATTTTGAACAAGACCTCTGGCCAAATGGAAGTATATGATGCTGAGTTGTTCAACATGCAGCCACTGTTTTCAGGTAGGTGCTAGCATGAAGGCTCGCAGAAAATTTTATGCACTCTTTGGGTTTAGTGGATGAGTTTACTGGATGAATTTTTGATTTTCAAAGCACATTTAGTATTTATTTTTAAAAGGGTGCCTTTCTGCCAGGTTTTTTTTTTTTTTTTTTGATTATTTGAAAAAGTTGTAAAGTTTTTCTTATTCAGCAAATGTTTACTGATGACCTACTATATACCAGGCACCAAGCTAGGTACTATGGATGTAGCAGGAAGCAAGACAGACATGAATCCTGTCCCCACAGTGTTTACAGACTTGAGATCAGAAACTAAAAGTAAGTTGTGCAATGGTAAGAGCAGAATATTAGAATGTCTGATACCAAATTGATTTCCATCAAAGGTATTTATCTTCATTCTTTACTATTTTAGTTGGGGTGGAAGGTTTTAGACTCGCTGGGAGGTAATGGTAGTGGCTTTTAAGGTTGTGCCGTAACTTTCATGTTGATAAAAAGTCTGAACACTGTCTAATTTGTGGGGGGGTAATCTATTTTTCCCTAGTCTATTGGGAGAAATTGCATTGTCTCTCTATTTGGCATCTTGAATGCTTAGGGCTAGAGAGAGATCTTCAGAATTATAAATAAGAAGGTCAGATTCAAGGGGCTCCTGTTCCCTAAATATCAAAACTTGGGTCCTTAGTGATGCCTTTAAATACTGAGAACCATGGGGAAGGGGGCGCTGTTAGAGAAGGAAGTATTGTTAGAATCTTTGTTAGAAGCTGAGTGATGCCTTCAGGGGCATTAGTTCTGACTTATTCCCTCGAAGCAGTGGTTCCATACCTTTTGAGAATCTGATAATGACCTGGATCTTCTTCCTAGAAGCGTACAAGCATATGAGATTTTGCATACAATTTTAAAGGGCTCTTGAATCCCAAAGCCCATCCAGGAATTTCCTAAGAGTCCATAGTCTCTAGGTTAAGAACTCTCTGCTTTGCAGACACACCCCTTTTAGTAGTGTGGATAATTTCTACATTTAATCAACCTCCAAAAGCTCTTCTAAATTCAAGGAGGCAAGGAAAATTGTTAATTTGTTGATTAAATAAATTGTTTTTATATGTAAAATATTTTTAGATATTAGTTTATTCTAGTTAGCAGATATATGTATAAAGAGAGATAGAGATTGAGATCCAACATTTATCTAGTCATTACTGTGTGCTAGACACTATTCTAAGCACTTTCCGTATACTACATCATTTAACTAACGTAACAGTCTTTGGGGTAGGTACTGTTACTTTTTACACATGATGAAACTGAGACACAGAGATGAAATGACTTTGGCGGGGACATACTTCACATATATGCGTATATATATGTATGTGTGGGTATATATATGAGCTGAGGTTTAAACTCAGGCATGGTCACTCCAGAGCTGGTGCTCTTGTCCACTAGATTATGTTGCCCCTTGTATGAGTACTTTGTGGGAGATTGGAGAGCTTCATGTAAGTAGTAGATATAAAAAGCCAAGCTAGTTGCCATTGAGTCGATTCTGACTCATGGTGACCACGTTTATGCCTATTTTTAGGTGTTTTAAAAGGAGGGCAAAACTATTCACAGGAAAGAGCTGAGCACTTGGTTTCTAATCCCATCTCTGCCACTACTCGGTGAGCTGATCTGGGGCAAATCATTTAATCTGGAGGCCCCATTTTCTTTATTTGTAAAATGAAGACATTGGACCAGATGATCCATTCATTTGACTTCTTATTCTCTGAATTCTCTAACTGTGGACTAAAACTACATACCAAAGATTCACAGTACAGTGTCATCTTAGGCTCTGGGAAGTCCTGCAGTAAAGAAGTCTGTTTTATTTAGATTAACTGTTACTAAGTCAATATTAAACACCATTACTATTTGTAGGTCTTATAGTGTGCTTTTTTCTTCTTCACTGTTTTTGTTTCGTATTTTGGTAGGTGAGTCACTTGAGAGTGAGCTGCCATCACAGAGTCAGACCAAAACCTTCAGAGAGAAGGTAGGTGGGACAGAACTAAGGTGTGTGATCTCAAGCAAATTCCTTCTAGGCCTTGGGTTTCTCTGTCAGTAAAATGAGTTGGTTGAACTCAGAGGTCTCCCTGGCAGCTCCCAGCTCAGTCTGTGGTTCTCTGGACAGATTCTGACTGGAGTGGCCTCCTCAGCCTCACAGAAGGCAGTCCTGCTCCCACCTGGGGCAGCTGTGTGCCAGTATTTGGAACCAGACTTCAGTGCCGGTATAGGCGAGGCATAACACTTGCTTTTAGGATTTATTCCAAATCTCAAAAAATACTGGTTGTAGCCTGGAAACCTTCACATTAAAACAAAGTAAACTTTAGGGCTGTCAATGTAGAAGGTTCCTACAGAGGTCATTTCGCCCCAGGTTGGTCAGTGGAATCTCTAGTGCTGTGTGGAGTACTGTATTGAGAAGGGGGTGTGAGGCTCTGACTCGGGAAAGAATGATGGGATCTATTGGCAGTGTCTGTTATGGGTATAGGATGGGAGAATGTAAACTGTGCCACAGATTTATCAACGCAGTTCTAGTCAAGTCCTTTCATTTTACAGACATTAATGATTTGTAAATAGCCCTTTACAGTTTATAAAGCAAATACTTCAAATCTGTTAATATCACCTGATTTACAGATGAGGAGATGATGGCTCAGGGAGGCCAAGGGTTTCCCTGTGTCACACAGCTAGGAGTAGCAGTGCCAGGCCTGCCCCCGGCAAACAAGTTTGTCTCTTGCACAGATGGATTCTTGCATTGAAGCCTTTGGTACCACCAAACAGAAGCGAGCTCTGAACTCCAGGAGAATGAATAGAGTTGGCAATGAATCTTTGAATCTTGCAGTAGCTAAAGCCGCAGAGAATATCATTGATACAAAGGGGGTGACTGGTAAGTGACTGGGACTTGGGGTAAGAGTCTGCTCATAAAGACAGCTTTCTCTTCTTTTGAGATCTTTTACCCGCTCCACAGGTGGAAATGATGGGAATTAGAGTCTGGATTCTTTCCTGCCTCTCGCTGAGGGCCTTCTCTGGACAGACTCTGGAAGTAGTAAGAAACATGACAGATGGCCCTGCCCTCAGCGAGCTCACAGACAAGTAGAGGAGACAGACATGAATGGATGTGTGCACTGCTATGTTCCTGGTGCCAGGGTTGCAGCCTGCAGGGTAGTGTGGGCATAGAGGAGGGAGGAGGCCTCAGTTCTCTCTGTTGAGTCACAGGGAGGCTTTGGTCAAAAAAGGCTTGATGCAATGATGATTAAACTGGGCCACTAGAGACACCGTGTCACTGTGAGGTCAGTGGACAGTGCGGCAGGGGTGGTATCTTTGGACCTGTTTCTGGTCCTGAATTCCTAGGCAGATTGGGTATTTAATTGTATTATTTAAACATGTATTTATTGTTAAAAAGCATTATAAGAACCCGAGAGACGGTTTATGTAAGAGCAGTTTTTCTGTTAAGAATAGAATTTTAGTAATTTTTAGAAAAATTTTCATACCCTATGATTATATAAATATCTTCCTGTGTTTTCCTTTAATACATTCACGATTTTATATTTTTACATTTAAGTAACTTTAACTCCGTGAAGATTTTTTTTTTTTGCCATATAGTGTGAGATGCAGATCTAATTTTATATTTTCCAAATAATTAGCCAGTTGTTCCCAACTCCTTCCTTTCCTTTTGTAAAAGATGATTTCAAAAATCATCTTTATTGTTTGACTACATTCTTAAAACACTTCGGTGTTTTGTTCTGTTCCATTGTTCTGACTGCTTGTTTGGTAGCAGTACCATGCTGTTTTGATTATAGTAGCCTTACCATCAGGTTTATTGTCTGATAGGACAAATTCATCCTCCTTTTTCACAAGTGTATTGGCTTTTGTAGCATGTTATTTCTTCCAGGTGATTTAATTATTTTGTCAGTTTCCTTCAAGATCCAACTGGGATTATTATGGGGAGAGGCAACACTTTTACACCCAGGAACATAGAAGTAGGTCTCACCCTTGATTCAAAGACACACACTAATATCTAAGTAAATTTTTTGTTTTGTTTACTCCCGGTATTAAAGGACATTTAAAAAGAAAAATAATTTACCCATATTCCTGTCATTCTGTCAGATCAGCTGTTAAATAATTTTTTCTGTTTTCCTCTCCACCCTTCTCTGTATGCATAGTCAATTCATACATGTTTATTTTTGTAAGGTAGTTAACAATTTTATATTCTGACATCCCCCTGCACCCGCTTACGATATGTGGAGAAATTTTTCTGGAAGTTAAGCCATTAAAGGCTGTTTTGAATCTCCCTCATTTCTAGCGTCTCTCATATTGTACTGTATTTATTAATCTGTCTCTCCCAACTACACTGTAAGTTACTTGAGTGGGGACCCATGCTCTGTGCACCTTCCACAGTACTTGGTTAATGTTTGTTTCATGAGTGAACATAGTAGTCCTGGAGCAGTGAGCTGATGGGGAGGTTGGGTCAGGTTGGTGGAAACATTCAGACTAGGTGTTTCTGGACCAGTTGTGGTCTTGAGTGCACGAGTTGCATAGAGTGTTGGGGAACCTGAAACCATACAGGGTGGTACTGACACTGTTCTTCTATTGTAAAGCTCTGGTCAGTGACGCCATCCAGGATGACTTGCAAGATGACTCGCTCTACCTTCCTCCCTGTTACACTGATGCAGACAAGCCTGAAGACGTGTATAAATTTGAAGATCGTATCCTTTTTGCAGTAGAAAAGCTGCCTCATTTCACAAATTGGGATGTTCACACATAAATGGCACAGCCAGGCTCTGAGGGTGTCCTTGTTCCCGTGACCTTCACAAAGGCTACATGTAAACCTTTGCAGTTGCCCCAGCGTTGTTCCTGGGAGGTCAGCCAGGCTTCCTCACTAGCTGGGGGATCTGCTTCAGCCCCAGCCCCTTACCCCATTCCTCAGCAAGATGCCAAATGCCCACTGCTCAGACTTCAGTGGCCCCTCTCCCTGAATGCTCAAAATGTGACTTGAGTATGCCAATGCCCAAAGTCTAGAGCAGACTAATTTTGTAAAAGGAAGGATCAGAGCTTAGAATTTCACTTCTCAGCGGCCTAGTCAGATGGGAAATGCCTACAGTGGCTTTGTGATAAGAAAGAGAAGGCAGAGAAGTCCAGGCATTTGATAGGCAGCCACTGTTTGCAGTTTGTTCACTTCACAGCAGTCACCTTGTTGACTTGTTTATCAGGTAACAGCCTGTCTGCCAGGAAATGAACAAATCACACATTGCCCCAGAGTCTTCCATCAAAGCAGAGTTCCTTAAATGCATAATACTATGATCTTTTTTTTTTTTTTTTTCCCATTCACATACCACTGTTGTGACAATTCGATTCTCTGCTATTGGGGTAGGAAACTCTCGGCATCCTCCTTATATTAAATTCTCTTATGCTTAAGGACAGTTTTCTTTTAAGACCTCAACTGTACAGAATCAGATTAATTGTAGTCCTCATTTCATGACACATCTCACTGTTGGTTTGGGAGTTTTAAACTCACTTTAAACTTAACTACTTCAGAGTCTCTGCCTTTACCCATGATAACAATTTCACCAGTAATAACAATGGTTTCTCTGTGATACTTTGCCATTTACGGAACACTTTTTGCAGCATACTGTTTGCTCCTCCCCTAATGATCCCCGGATGGCAGCAGGGTAGTGACTCATTCCCCACCCCCTTTTTTTCTTTTTTGCAGTTTTTTAAAACAGCTTTATTGAGATATTATTGATATACAGTACAATTCATCCACTTAATGTGTACAACTCAGTGTTTTTTCATATATTCACAGAGTTGTGCAATTATCACTGCAATCTAATTTTAGAACAGTTTCTTTCCCCCTAAAAGAACCCCTGTGCCCATTAGCAGTCCCCACTCATTCCCCACCACCACTCCCAGCCCTTGGCACCACTTAGCTATGTAGTTTATAGATGTTTGGGTTTTTACTTTTTGGTTATTATGAATAATGCTGCTATGAACGTTCCTATGTCAATTTTTGTGTGGACATAGGTTTTCATTTCTTTTGGTGTATATCTAGTAATGGTATGTATACCTAGTATGTCATATGGTAACTCTATGTTTAGCCCTTTGAGGAACTGCCAGACTGTTTTCAAAAGCAGCTGCTATTTTACATTTTCACCAGCAGTGTACAAGGGTTCCAGTTCCACGTCCTCACCACCACTTGTTATTGCGTGTTTTCTTTATTATAGCCATCCTAGGAGTGTGAAGTGGTATCATGGTTTTAGTTTGCATTTCCCTGATGGCTAAAATGAATAGATTTTGAGCATCTTTCCATATGCTTATTGGCTGTTTGTACGTCTTTTTTGGAGAAATGTCTTATTTCCTTTTAACTGATGAGGAGCTGGGTCTGAGGATGGAGAAGTGACTTGCCCCTGGTTGTACAGCTTAGTAACAGACCAAGGACTAGAACCAAGACTGCTGATTCCTTGATCAGAACTGTTTCCACCACAGTTTTGACACCGCCCTTTGTTCTTTCCCTTCATGCTTTATTATTATTATTATTATTATTTATTGTGCTTTAGGTGAAAGTTTACAGTTCATGTTAATTTCTCATACAAAAATTTATACATATATTGTTATGTGACCCTAGTTGCAATCCCTATAATGTGACAGCACACTCCCCCTTTCCACCTCGGGTTTCCCATGTCCATTCAACCAGCACTTGTCCATTTCTGCCTTCTCATCCTGCCTCTGGTGAGGAGCTGCCCGTTTAGTCTCGTGTATCTACTTGAGTTAAGAAGCACACTCTTCACAAGTATTATTTTATGTTTTATAGTCCAGTCTAGTCTTTGTCTGAAGAGTTGGCTTCAGGAATGATTTTTAGTTCTGGGTTAACAGAGTTCAGAGGCCATGTCTACGGGGGTTTCTCTAGTCTCAGTCAGACCATTAAGTCTGGTCTTTTTATGTGAATTTGAGTTCTGCACCACACTTTTCTCCTCCTCTGTCAGGGACTCTGTTGTGTTCCTTGTCTGGGTGGTCATTGGTGGTAACTGGGTACCATCTAGTTCTTCTGGTCTCAGGCTGATGGAGTCTCTGGTTTATGTGGCCGTTTTTGTCTCTTGGACTAATATTTTCCTTGTATCTTCGGTGTTCTTCATTCTCCTTTGCTTCAGGTGGGTTGGGACCAATTGATGCATCTTAGATGGCCACTTGCAAGCTTTTAAGACCCCAGACACCACTCACCAAAGTGGGATGCAGAACATTTTCTTAATAAACTTTGCTATGCCAGTTGGCCTAGATTCCTCCTGAAACCATGGTCCTCAGGCCCTTGCTTCTGTTACTCTGTCCCTTGAAGTGTTTGGTTGTGTTCAGGAATCTTCTTAGGTTTGGTTTAGTCCAGTTGCCCTTCATGCCTTTTAATTTAAAATGCTGGGATCTTCTCTTGCTTAAACAGAAGGTAGTTATGATGGGCTAATTGGAGACAGTCTTCAACAGAATATTGAAGAGCCTGAGTTGATAACCTAGCCCAGGACCATCCTAGAGAATACCTGTACAGTGAGTTAATGGTGTGCCCTAGAGAGAGGTGACCTAGGGGCTGCCTAGGCCCATGTGGTGCAGAGGATGGACTGTGGCATCAGATGACTTGGCTTTAAGCTCTGACACTTAGCAGCTGTGTGACCTTGGACAAATATGTTAACCTTTGTAAGCCTCTCTTTTCTCAACTGAAAAAATGAGGCTAGTCATTCTTGTTTTGCCTCTTTAATGGGTTACTTGTGAAGCTCAAATGAGAGAATGAATATGAAGGCTTTTTGAACTGTAAATGTAAGGAAGTAAAATTTCCTGTCTCAGGAGCAGGACAGCCTCAACAGCAAAGGGTTGAGTGTACATAAAAAAAAACAAAACTGAGGAAGCAATTGAGGAGGTAGGTGAAGAGCTAGTTGGATGTTTCCATTTTGGTGGTTTGAGTTCTTGACCTGCAACTAGTTCTTTCCCCTGTGGAGTATGAAGCTCTTAAAAGTCCATCGGAAGCTTTCAGGAATGTCACATCAGAAGAAATACTGAAGATGATTGAAGAGAACAGGTATCCCCACTTGGGCAGGTGGAGAGTCTGTGGGAGTGATGTTGGGACACAACAGCAGTCAGACATGAAGCAGCACCTTTGGTGTCAGTGAGGAGACATATCTGTCCAGTATTTGAACATGAATGAGCCAGTGTTTTCCTTGAAAGTTTGGGGCCTCCAGGCCTATTATTCCAAGGCTGTTGGTGGCATTCAAGGGAGAGAGTTGGTCTTTAGCATGTGGAACCTAGGGCTGGGCAGAAGGGTGGTGAGTTGGGACAGGAACCAGAGCAGTTGCAACAGAGACTGTCTGGCTCAGAAAGCCTAAAATGTTTACTCTCTAGCCCTTTACCCACACCTGCACTGAACCATGCAGGTAGTGTTGAGTGTGATGGCCCTTCATCGACTGTTGGGTGTTGTGTCAGGTGTGAGAGGTACCTGCTGTTCTCATTGTGAGGGAGTGAATGGTTTCTGACAGAGCCCATTTTATCCTGACACATGCTTGCCTTTCGCTTCCTTGTTTTAGTCACTGCTCCTTTGTCATTGAAGCATTAAAGTCCTTGCCATCAAATGAGGAGAGCCGAGACCGCCAGGCCCGATGCATTTGGTTCCTGGACACCCTCATCAAATTTCGAGCTCAGAAAGTGATTAAGCGGAAAAGTAAGCCCATGATGGACATTTTATTCTGGTTATTTTTCAGTCCATTATTTGCTTATAAATCTTAGACCAGCTCTAATGAGAGAAGAAAATGGATGTCTGTCTAAGTCTTTATTTTTAACTGTGCAACATTGAGATTCCTGTTAGTACTGCTGACAGGATATGAGGACATGCCAAGCTCTTTCCTCTTTCTGGCCCTCCCATTTTCTCATCCGAAAATGGAGACAGGTGGGATTATACAATTGCTCAGGGCCCTCCAGAGCTAACATTCACTACTTCTGTTCTGCATTAGGCAAAGTACAGTATCCAGGTCAAATCAAATGAAAACTTTAAGCGACTGTTATAACAAACATCAGTTATGTAGGGAGAAAAAATTGACCTTGCTTATAGAGGTTTAATGGGTTGCTTGTGAAGCAGGTTGGGTTGTGTCAACTGATTTTTGTTTGGGAGAGTAAAGAACTAGTTTCTAATGGTAACCTTAGTGTGCCTGTAGCTGGGGCTATGGGTGGCTCTCACACTCTCTAACTCATCCAGAGTTGGAAAACCAGCAGGAGACATCTGTGGTTTTAGGCATAAGGTGTATTTGGGTCATCATTACTGTGATTGGGGACCAAGAGTCTACATTCATATTTTTTGGTTTTTGCTTTCTAACATATTCTTTGTCTTTAGGCCTCATTTGAGTCTGTTTTTTCCTTTTTGTCCCCATGCCATCACAGATGTCCCTCATGTATGTATGGTCTGTAGACTGAAGTACACCTGAGCATATTGTCATTTTAAAGTGGCTGTTTGTGCTTCTCTAACCACATTACAGTGTTCATTACAGTGGCCCAGCTGTTGGTCACTTCTCCCAGCTCGTGGATGAGGCGTGGCCTGAGGGTTTTGAAAGAAAATGATTAAACTCAACTTTGTGTTGTAGGTGCCCTGGGACCTGGAGTTCCGCACATCATCAACACCAAACTCCTGAAGCACTTTACCTGCTTGACTTACAACAATGGCAGGTCAGGGGAGTTGATTTCTGAGTTGCTGCTTGTGAAGTAGAAAGTAGTTTGGGGGCAAGGGATGGGACTGGGGAGTGAGGGCTTGGTTTCAGTTCCAAGTCCACAGAGATACAGTGCTGAAGAGAGCATTGCCATTTGGAAGGGTTCTGGGATCAAGTTTAGGAAACACTTATATATACTCTGTCCCCCTCTGAAAAGTCCTACAATAAAGACTTATTTCACTTCACATGCTCCTTTCGAAGAACCCTTCCTAAAGTCGCATAGAATTCATGTTCTGTGGAAAGGCAGTGTTGCAGAAAAGGGCAAGTTAATGTGATGACTGAGGAAAGGGCCCCAGGCAGCGCACTGGGGCTTACTTTCTGCCGTTCACTTGGAGTGTGCTGCCTGCTCCTGCATGGGCTTGAAGAATCATCACCAACTACATTTGGGATGACTGTTTTCCTAGCAGCCCTGCTGAGCTGGCAAGGGACAAAGACTCAGGGTCCTCACCAGTGAGAAGCTCTAACTGTGCCTGGGGAAAGTGTAGGCATGCTTTTCTCTGTCCCACTCGGAGGGAAACACTGGGGTTGGCTTACTGCTGCACTGTGTGTAAAAGCTCAGACACCTTTAAAGGGACAAGGAATGTTGCTTGAATTCCTTTTCTCTTTCCCCAAGATGGGAAGACATGGAGTGCATATGAGAACAGTATTCGATGTTTTTGCTTTTGGAGAAGTTGACTTAGAGTTTAATTTTGTGTCCCCTTTACTGTCACTGATTCTACAGTTTGCGGAACTTAATTTCGGATTCAATGAAGGCAAAGATTACCGCGTATGTGATCATACTGGCCTTGCACATAAATGACTTCCAGATTGACCTGACAGTGTTGCAGAGGGACTTGAAGCTCAGTGAGAAAAGGTGAGCACAACAGCATAAAAAGCTCCCCCGTACAACCCATTGCTGTCGATTCCAACTCATAGCGACCCTATAGCACAGAGTAGAACTGCCCCATAGGGTTTCCAAGGAGCGGCTAGTGGATTCGAACTGCCGGCTTTTCAGTTAGCAGCCGAGCTTTTAACCACTGTGGCAACAGGGTTCCCGTAGGGGGCCTTATTATAGCTACAAAACCATGATTTGGCCTTTGCACTAACCTTTGTGGACTTGCATATGTTCGTTCATATTAAGAAGTTTGCTCAGATAATGGACAGAAATGTTTCTGTTTACTTTTAGTAGTGTGGCTAATTTGTATGATGTATTTGTAGTTCCACTGGAAAGCATGAAGCACTATCAAGGGAACTGGGGACATTTCATATGGGAAAGACTTGGGACCAGGTGTGGGGATTTGGGACGGTGGGGCCTGGGGAATTTGGAATCAAAAGATCTCACCATTTTTAGTGAGTGAATGATTGAATGAATGGACAGCCAGACATTACTGAGTTCCTTTTCTGTACTACGCATAGTATGAAATTCTGAAATATTATATCATTGATTTTCTTAAAAAACAATTGAGGAATCTGAGTTTCAGAGAAGTAAATGACATCCCCAGGGTCACAAAACCAAGAAGGGAATAGCTGGACTTCATCCCTGAGCCTTCCCGCAGCATTCTGGTCCTTTATAATCGAGCAGTCTCCATTCTCTGGGTTGTTAGTCACTGGGGAGGGGGATTCTGTATGGCCCAGAGCAGTGGAACCCATGGGTAGAAGCTGTAAGAAAACCCAGTTTCAGCTTAGCAAAAATAACTTTTCCAGAGTCAGATGTAAGGGGCTACCAGGGGATGGGTTCAAGGCAAGGCGGAGCTGTTGTTCGGCAGGGATGCCACATTTGGGCTCCTGACTGGGCTGGGAGAGTGATGAAGATGACCTTTAAGTCCCCCTCTAGCTCTTTTAGCAGGGATTTAGACTGAGTAGAGGACAGAACTCCCCAGGGTCATGAACTGTGGGCTCATTTGGCCTTTGTTGGTAATTTAGGGACATCTGATGTCCAAGGATTCTGAGGGTATTCCAGGGGAGCCTGTGAAAACACCCTTGTCTGGAGTCTTTTGCAGTCAGTCCGTGGAATGTTTATTCTGACGGTTGTCCACAAATGGCATCCTTATAAGCAGTGAGGTTGAAAGATCAGAGAACAGATACTTGGAGTCTCTCAAATTCTAGCAAGTGCTCAACCCTAGTTGCATTTATAGCTTGGTTATAGGAAGCAAACGAAGTTATTAATAGGGATCTAGATAACCTGGTTTTCTACCACCTGTATAGTTATTTTCAAATGGCAACACATTCAAATGAAATTGTCCATCTGATGGCTCTGATGGGGATCTTATCTCTACCTCTCTGCTGGGGGCTTTGCTCCTAGTGGCTGCTTTTTGAGATTTTGGAGCATGAGTATACCACTTCCTCCTGCCGAGCCTCCCTGAGCAGTCACATTGAGGGGTGTCTCTGCATTTGTTTTGTTTGTTCCTTCCTTAGGATAATTGAGATAGCGAAAGCCATGAGGCTGAAGATCTCGAAAAGAAGGGTCCCTGTGGCAGCTGACAGGGAAGAGGAGCACAGACTGGGCACTCTGTCCATCCCACTGCCTCCAGCCCAGACCTTGGACCACCAGTTAAAGCGGAGGAGAGTCACCTAGCTGTCTGCTTGCCACACACAGCGTTTCGGCCACATCATAGCTACCGCTTCTACTCATGTCCTCTTTTATTTTTAAAAAGAAGCCTTGCTTTGGTGCCGGTATGAAGCCAGAAGCCTGCATCTCAGTCATGCTTGTCTGAAGCAGAAATATAATAGAGTGATGGCCAGATTGGACTTCATCTCCCTCTAGTTTTGCTGTGATTATAAATGGCTTGCATTATTTGTGTTGGTTTACAGGTTTGGGGATTTGGGAAGGTGGAGCCTGGGGAATTTGGAAGTATAAGATCTCTCCAGTCTGAACCCTGGGCCAATCTAAGGGATGAAGGTTTATAAAGAGAAATGTGAAATGGCATGCTTAGATCTGGAAGGACCAGTGGAGTACATGGTGAGGAGGCTGTAGCCTAGCAGGCTGGAAAAGGAGGCTTTAGACTTTATTAGTGGCTAACTGTGGGTCACCAGTGGGATGGGGTTGCCAGAACAGGCTAAGTTAGTTTGAGGCTGCCTCAACCAGATAGAGCCAAATTAAAGGAAGTGCTCACTCCAGTTGCTTCGCGTGGCTCAGACCACGTGGAGGGCTGCGGTCAGCCCTGAAAGCCATACTTTTGAGAGGTATGAATCAATCAGAGTTCAGTATAGCAAACAGAAACTTTTCTAGGTTTCTTAATAAGAAAGGGATTTAATACATGGACAAAGTGCTATAAAATTTTTGGAAGGCCTGGAGTTTAACCACCCATTTCCACTGCCTTGTCTGTCAGCACAGTCCAAAGATCAGGAAGCTGGCCTCCATCTTGCTTCTTTCCTATCTAAGTACATTTGCAGGAACCTAATTTGCATCTAGAATCCTAGCAGCAAGGGAATCTTAGGTTTCATCTATCCAGCCTCTAATGATAGGAAGGCATACTAGAAGGAGGTGGGAATGGATGCTGTCTGCCACTGGTGAGATGGAGTAATCAGTGTACAGAGAGGTGCTGTGAGGACCGGGAATGTGGTGACATGGAGGGACTTGGGTTCGTGGCCAGTACTTGGTCTCAGATCTCCAAGGCTTTGCAGGTGAGGTCTTGTGCTTGGTGCTGGGGAGCCAGGGCCAGTGAAGGAAAGGAGGCTGTCTCCCTTCAGAGTTCAGCTCTCTGAAATGGAAAAGGAGGAAGTTTACACAGCAGCTGGACCATCCGTTAAGGTCATGGTGGAAATGGGTTGTGGATGAGTGTTGGGACAGGTGGTCCCCTCATATTTGAGTTCTGGGATGCTGTCATCGGAGCCACTTCTGTGGCAAGGACACATGTAAAGTGCGTATCTTCCATGCTCTCCATTTGTCTCTGATCCTGGATGGTGGTCATTTGTGGCATTTTGTCTCCCTCCAGCAGAAGTGTGGACAGGAAATCCAAACAACTGTTTTTTCTTTCTCTAAGCTGCTGTGATAATCAAGTATGTGACTCTGCATCATAAAACAGAATTCTGATCTGTCTTTGGGAAAAGGCCTCCTAATGTGCTTGTAGGTTAGACTGTGTTTTCATGAATACCTTTTAGATTCTGATGGGTTTGACACCTTGAGGCTTAATTTCCAGGAATAACTGGACCACAGCATGTGACCGGGCCCCTCTGGACAACCTTGGTCCTAGTGAGGAAGCAGCCTGTCTTCAGACACACCAAAACCAAAAACCAAACCTGCTGCCGTCAAGTCATTCTGACTCATAGCAACCCTATAGGACAGAGTAGAATTGCCCCATAAGGTTCCCAAGGAGCACCTGGTAGATTTGAACTGCCGACCTTTTGGTTACCAGCTGTAGCTCTTAACCAAAGCAGCCACCGGGGTTTCCTCAGACACACCAAGAAGGTTGGTATTGGCTGACTGAAAAGCAAATTTCTGTTTATCAGGAGGTTTGCGTATCCTTAGGAAATGCTCAAAATGGGGCCCTATTCAACATGAACGTATCCCATAAAAGCACTAAGCGCAGTGCCTGACATGGAGGTGGTCCGTGTCTGTCAAGTGAGCCATAAATGAACTGCACTTTTTCTCCTTGGTGGGGTGATTAGGCAGTAAACATCTGTAGAATGGAATTGTACTAGGTTTCTTCTAGCTCTAAAAATCCATTTATTTACCAAGACATTCACAGAGGAAACCTTAATCTCACCAACTTAAATTTGCCAGAACATTTCCTCATATCCTTGTTAAGGAAAGGGAGATGGGGCTGGATGTGCATGTCCTTAATGAGATTTGTAGTTTGTGGGATAACTATCACCTGTGGATGTTGATAACAGAATGAAATCTGCTCACTGGAGGGAAGGCTCTGCCTGCAGCTCTGACCTGTGGGACACTGTTCACATTTGCCCAGGACCCTAAACTGGAAATAGCTAATTAGCTAATTAGAGGACATTTAAAATATATATATTTTTGAAACAATTTCACATTTAGAGAAAAATTGCAAGAGTAGTACAAAGAACTCCTACATACCCTTTACCCAGATTCTCTATTAATACTTTGTCTTATTTATTATTTGCTTTGTAGTATGTATCTCAAATAGTTCTGAAAAATTTAGTTTGTGGACACCATACCCTTTTATCCATAAGTACTTCAGTGTGTATGTCCTAATAAGGACTTTCTCTTAGATAACTACATTGACTTTAGCAAAAATTGGAAGATGCTAAGTGACTGAAGTTGGGAAAATGGGTTAATGGATCTGAAAACCCTTTGGAAAGGGACTGTTATTGTTGATCATCAGAAAGCCCCATGGGGCAGGCAGTACTAGAATTACAACCCTGATTGACACTGAAACCCTGAGAAATGCAGCCTTCCAGTTTTGAATCCTGAATCATGGGAACAAGCTGAATCAGGCTGGTCCCGGGCTTTGCCTGTCCCCTTCAAGGGAAGCAGTGGTGCCTCTGGGGAAAGCTAGGTGGAGCGGTGTTCTGCCAGCATCCAGCACCTGGGAATGCTAGCACATACCCAGACCAAGAAAACCCTGCAGCAAGTGCCTCTTAAAATACAGTACTTTATTTGGTTATTGAGATTTTCATAAGCACTTGATTCACAGAAAAGTCATTTCTTACAAAATAAAGGCAGCATTTTGTACAGCGACTCACACGGGCCACCAAAGAGAAGTGTGAAGGGCAGTGCTGGGGACAAGGAGGTGCCAGTGCTGTTGTGCCCAAGGTCCTCAGGGAGAAGCCAGTGCTCCTGGCTCCCTCTACTCCCCTCCTGCCCCACCCAGCAGAGCAGCACCGAGGGCCTGACAGGACCAGCCTCGGAAGCTATCAGTAAAGTACACGACAGCAACCCCAACAGGCTGGTGAAGGCCCCACATGGAAGGCTGAGTGGCAGGCGGAGTGTGCAGGCTGAGCCAGTCCTGCATCCAGCCCACTTCAAGCAACTGGGGTCCGAGCTCACCTGACTCTGGAACCTTGACACATACTATGGTTCAGTAAAGCCCTTTGGGAGCCAGCTTCCTCTCCTCAGGCCACTAACCCTGTCCCAGCCCTGGGCTGTGTACTGGGGGCACAGACACAGTAGGACATGGCCCTACCCTACCCTCGGGAAACTCACAGGCAAAACAGGACAGGGTATGACCTGAAGAGCTCCAAAACAAGGCCGAAAGTGCTTGGTACCCTGAGAGGGAGCAAAGGAAGGGCTATGGGAACACAGAAGAAGGAAAGAGCATTGTCATCTGGAGGGAAGGGAGTGCTGTGTGTAGGCAGTGTCCAAGCTAAACAATGTGGAGATGGCGAAGAAGGGCATGCCAGAAGGAAGAATGCATGACCCAAGGCACAGAGTAGGGAAACATGGCAGGGGCAGTAAAGGCAGGTGATGATCCATGAGGGAGCATGGATACATACGAGAGACCCTAGGCATATCCATCTTCTAGTCTAGTCTGTAACGCTGGTGCCCAGGAGGTGCAGCTGGTGTGGGTGCTCTCACATGGGATTTTAATCTCCACAGCTGGCACCAAGGTAGTGCCTCATGAGTCTAGGAGCAACCTGAGGTACCCCTGCACCCACCCAGCCTGGCACCCGCCTGCACTCCTGAACCACCTGAAGGAAGCTGTCCACCATGCACCCCTCCTGTTTTCAGCATGCCCTCTTGTCATCACTGGGGCAGCCTTTCAAGAGGGGCTCCCTGCCCCAAGCCCCTCACCCCTCACAGGTCCATGTCCAAGTCTAAGAGATCTGTCTCCTTAAGTAAACCAAACCCAACTCCTCCAGGTTCCACAGGCAGTTGGGAAGGTGTCATGGTGCCCCTGGGGGATTGAGAGAGACAGGTCTAGGAAAGGGGAAAATTCTAGGGCATTTGTCTCTTCCCACCTCAGCAGAATTATTTCCCTCCCTCAGGAGTAAATCTGCTCTTCCCTGAGAAGAGTTTGTATTTGGTGTGAGAGGTGGTTCCCTAACTCAAATAACAGAAAACCCTGACCGAAGCCTCACGGATCGTTTGAGTTTCCCTGACCCTATATAATCACCAGAAGAGCTTGAGTGATTGGAAACCCACCAACTTTTGTCCTTTTTTTTCCCTCTTTGAAATGCATATTCAAGTTTCTTCCTACTGCAGGTTGTGGAGTGGAAAAGTCTTGGAGGTACCTTGTTCTTAAAGTCTCCAGGGAACCTGGGAGCCTGTTTTTTCACATGGTGGAGGGTGGTGAGTAAGGGGCCTGGAGTCTTCTCAGGTACTACCTCTTCCCTTCTGAAGGCCTTCACTTCGTAGCTCTTCTGAGCACCTGTCAAGGCCTGGGCCTGAGAGCAGGGGATGTGGCTGCTGTTCTAGGAGTCCTCTGACATCACCGCCTCCTGCCTCACCTGCCCCTTCCAGGCCTAGGCCTGAGCTGGGGCAGGTCTCCATCCTTATAGGATGGTGCAGAAAATGCTGTGGTTGCTGTGGTAACCACCTTCCACATGGGCTGTGATCCTGGTAGCCATGGCCGCCACCTTCCGCCCATTATGGGCTGTAGAGGGGCCTCTAAGGGAGTGTTCAAGGTGAGGCCGTGCTGGTGGGTTCACCAGGCGCCATGTATCAGACCTGGAGGTATAAAACGATAGTCAATGAACTCTGGGAGGTTTAGAGCACTTGCCGAATGTCCTGCACAATCATACCTTTGGCTCAAGATCATCGGACCCACGTGTAAATCTGAATGTAGGTTTTGTCTCCCAAGTTAGTGAAAGCCCAAGGAGGTGGGGCATGTGTGAGTCTAAGGGGCAAAAGTCCTGCATTCTTGTTCCAGCTCTGCCTTCAACTCTGTATGTAACATGGACAAGTTCCTTCTATGGGCCTCATTTTTCCCATCTTTAAATAAGTAGCTTTCTTTTTTTCTATCTTTCCTTTTCCTTTTTTTTTTTCCAGCTGCATGACTGTGAATGTATATAGCTTTAGTCATGATCACCAGACCTAGAAACTACCTAAATGCTATGAATGAATAAACAAACTGTGTGGTACATTCATACAATGGAACACTACTCATCAATAAAGAGGAATGAGCTACTTACATGCAACACCATAGCTGAATCTCAAATGTATTAGGCTAAGTAAAAGAAGCCAGATTCAAAAAAGCTAGAAACTGTATGATTTCTTTTATGAACTTCTAGAAAACACAAATCTATAGGGGTGGAAAACAGATCAGTGGCTTCCAAGGGCTGGGGTGGGGGAAGGGACTGACTACAAAGGAACATGAGGGATTTAGAGGGTTGATGGAACTCTTCTATACCTTGTTTGTGGTGGTTACATGACTATACATTTGTCAAAACATACAGAACTAAAAAGGGTGAATTTTATTGCATGTAAGTTATACATAAATTAAAACATGGTATATGGTGAACAATGCTAAGAATAATACAACTACTGGGCTGTATCCTGTGGCCAGGGGTCTCTAAAGAGGGAAAGAGGATGTGGATCCCAGGGAGTTCACAATAGGATCTGCTGGGATGTGGGAAGAAAATATTAGAATTTCTATTTATTTTTTATTTTATACTTTAAAAATTTCTATTTTTGGTATAGTTTATAATGTAAATAATATACTGATAGAATAAAACACATACATAATTTATGAGTAAATAAATATACATGAGAGGGTTTCCTCAAAAAGCATTTTTACTGAGTGTGTGTATAATCAAAAAATATGAGGATCATTGCTATAGAAAATGAGGATCCATCAAAGGTTTTTGACCATGGAAGTGACATGACCAGAACTCTGATTCAGAATGATTAATCTGGCAGGATGCATAGGAGAGCCTGCCTGGCAGGGTGGGAGGGTGGCCTAAGGGCAGAGAGACTACCAGGGCGGCTGCTGCAACAGAACTAGTGATATTAACAGTACGGGGTGACAGCAACAACAATAATTATTACAACTGGTTTGACACAGCACTGACTAATACAGTTCTATAAACAACTAGAACGGCCTTACTGGTAATACAGACCACACGTGAGGG